ATTATAGTAAACTGTAATACAAATAGTAAATTCAGTGACCAAATCGTATAAATTTCGTGATAAAATCAGTGATCAAATCATGTAAATTCCATATGAATTCCGTGCAAATTCCGTATCCAAACCATATTTTTAGTGATACGGAATTGTGCATTTTTCCGTATCCTATTATGATACGTTATTTCTAAGGAAAAAAATCGTATAAAAACTTTATAAAAAACGTATCCAATTTTTTTATAGGGTTGCTTGTTCTTTTTTTTAGGCGCGGCTGTTTTCAGTTTCCATTTCGGCAAATATTTAAGGTGAATCTTACTTTCTTTTCTTTCTCTTTTTTTTTGTTTTTCTTTTTGTTCTTTTCCCTGTTCTTTTATTAACCTTTGTTTCTTTTTTAGACGTGTACCATTTCAGTGAAATCTGAGTAAGTCTCTTTCGTCTTTTTCTCTTATTGTTTTATCGCTGTTAAAACGATATTAATTATTTTTTTCTTTTTCTATGGGTGGTGTTCTGGCTTTACTTTTATTTTCCTTTATTTCTCTTACTTTCGTTTTATTTGTTTCTTCATTATTTTTTGTTTTTATCCATCCATTTCTGTTCATTTTGTTTTCTTTCATCTCTTTCTATTTATGTTTCGTTTCCTTCATTCCTTTGTTGTTCTTATTCCCTTTATTTCTTTCATTGTTTTCTATTCTCGCTTCATTTCTTTTGTTATTTTCATTCCCCTTCGTTGCTTTTACATTGCTTTTTATTCCCTTTTGTTCCCTTACATTTCTTTGTTGTTTTTTATTCTCCTATTGTTCCTTTTCATTTTTTTTTCATCTCTTTTGTTCCTTCTCATTTTTCTTTTGTTTCTCTTATTGATTTTTATTCCCTTTTGTTCCCTTTCATTTCCCCTTCATTTCTCTCATGGCATTTTATTCCCTTTTCTTTCATTGTTTTTATTCCCCCTTTATTTTTTTCATTGTTTTTTTTTATTCTCTCTTTGTTCCCCTTTATTCCCCCTTTGTTTCTCTTGTTAAATTTTATTTCCCCTTTGATTCTTTTGTTCCTTTTTACTATTCTTCACTTTTTTTTTCATTTCCTTTACGATTATCTTCGTTTTCCTTCATCCTCTTTCATTCATCTTTCGTTTCCCTATATCATTTTCACTTATTCATTTTTTTCATTCATCTTTCACGTCTCTTTTGTTCATCTTTCATGTATCTTCATCATATTTTGTTTATCTTTCATCATTTTTGTTCATCTTTCATTTCCCTACATCACTTTTCGTTTACTCAACCCTTTTCATTTATCTTTCCTTTCCTTTATTTCCCTTGGTTTTTTTCATTGTCCTTTTTTACTATATTTTTTGTCCTTTCTTCATATATTGCAGTGCATTTACATACAGCATTACGGCATTTAAGTTAAAGTTATGCAATTACGACTTAATCAGCTATCGGTTATATCATAAAATTTTTTTTATAAATCATGTAATGCATTGTGGTGTAACATTTTTTATTGATCAAATAAAATCGAAAAACTAGCCAATAAAAAATTTTATAATCACGTGATTGTGGTGTTGAGCACCAGTGGTGTGATTTAGTACAGTCGTTTATTTATATAGGCATTTTTGTTACATTTTTGTTAATAATTTACCGATCATATTTTAACAAATTAGTCAATAAATTGTTGACCAGTTTGATAATTTACCAAAAAAGTTAGTTTTTTTGAGTCCTATTAGACCGATCATCCCAGTCCTAGGACCGGTCCTATAACCGGTCCGTGGCCCAGTCAGACCGTTAAACATCCCTAACTACATCTGCTTACAGACTTGTAGTAATCTACGTTCTTAAGGAATTAGGATTATCTTACGAATTCACTCAATCAAGTAATTTTGAAGAATTAAATCTCCAGAATATTTGGCTACCAAACATTGTAGGCGATAATTTTTTTTGTTATTTCTTATGTACATTAAGAAACATCCTGATTAAACTTTCGTTCTTTTTTTTTTTTTAAATAGCGGAAGGGTCCCTCCTCTTAACGATAATGGATTCCAAATTTACGAATCTTGTGCAATAGCTCATTATTTGATAAATAAAAATTCATCACTTTTATTCCTTTGATTGAACAGTTCATTTCAGTAGAAACCTCTTATTGTACTTAACTTCGGAGTAAATTAATTATGTAATTAATACTTGAAACGACGTGGTAGTGACTTGATCTTAAAATTGTTAACGAAGCTCGCGAAGAACTCGAAGGTAAAAATTATTTAACTGGGAATTTTCTTTTACTGATTTTCTTCACGTTCCTATAACTTTACACTAATGTTTCTAGATGGTGGAAGAACATTAGCAAATGTGAATAAAGTTGGAAAAATATTGTCATTAAATATAAATTAACATAAATTGTGATAGATTCATTTACAATAAATAGTATCAAATATTGAAAAACCTTATATTGCATGATTGACTATTTCGCGTGCTACTGTATATTGTTATTTGGCACGAAGTATTCAATACTGATGTCCATTTAATAACAAAGTGCTCAATAACGGTTATACCCCTGTCCCCTGGTAGCACAACATCATTTCGAAGTGATTTTTTAAATTTTTATATTTTTATTTCCTGTAATAATCTGTAATTAGCCTATTAATTCATTGTTAACGTCTTTCTTTTCACTTTATACAGATGGAAGAGCGGAAAGTATATAACAGTATTTTGAAATTTTGAAATTTTAGTAGTGTCATTATTAGTTGTTAAACTGATACATAAAACATTATAATTAAGACCCACTGATGCATAATAAGATAATATCCAGAATAGTTAACCTAATGGGGACACCGCGTATTTTTGTTTATTCTCTCTATTCGATAAAGATCATCGTTATAACATGGGGATCGACAATTCCTGATTTATAATGGTCTGCCGGTCTGTAATTTACCACCGCCGACGTCGGACAATCGGCAAAATTTGCAACCGGAGGATTTTATTGCCGAAGATCTTGTGTAATTTTAGTCACAAGATGTAAACATATGTATTAGTTGCATTATCAAAGAAAAATGATGATTAGTAATAAACTTCTAAAATATTCGTGTTTAACGATTTTCATACTTTCATACTTGGATTGTCTGCACATATTAATTTATTACATATGAACTACTTAAACTACTTAGTGTGAGAATTTTTTTAATCTAAATGCCACGGCAATTTAGATCCGAGATTTATTTCCTATTAATAAAATTGAAAGAAATACGTAATTTTGAAAGTATACAAAATTTAAATGACTTCCTTTCAAAGGGTTCTTTCTTTCTTTAACTATTGATCATTCTCAATGGTATTCTCCCAATTTATATAATTAATATTTCCAAATATCGGTAAAATTACGTAAAATCCCCTTGTTTTCGGACCGGAAACGGAAGAATTTATTATTAATTGTCCAAATCTAGACAAAAAAAAAGCATACTGATTAAAATAATTAATTTTGTGAATCATAAAGAATTGATTTCAAATCAAAAGAAAATCAAAGAAAATTAAAGATAAAAATAAATTTTTTTTATAGGTCGAATTCGTATACTAATTAAAGAATGAAAAATTCTTTATAAATACGATCTCAAAAATACCTCGTCGAATTTCAATCAAGATATTTTTTTTTTTCAAATTAAAAAAAAAAAAAGATAACAAATAAATACTATTATATATAAATTTCTTTTCCCTTTTTGAAAAAACTCGTAAAAAATGACCATTCAACTTACTGGATACTCTATCTCTGCTTATTGTCTCGCGCTACTCCAAGTTCTTAAAGAATTAGGATTATCTTATGAATTTATTCAACCAAATAATTTCGAAGATATTAAAACTCCGGAGTATTTGGCTACGAAACATCCTTTGTAAGTGAAAAAACCTTTTTTTCTTCAAAGTTATATACGCCACAGAAACATCACGAGTTACTGATTTGAACTTTCCTTCTTTTTTTTAATATAGCGGAAAAATTCCTTCTCTCAATGATGATGGATTCCAAATTTACGAATCTCGTGCAATCGCTCGTTATTTGGTAAAAAAATATCAAGGAACCAAATCTTCCACCGTTCTTATTCCTTCCGATGTACAAAAAGCCGCTTTGGTTGAACAATTTATTTCAGTAGAAATCTCTTATTATTCTCAACCTTTAGGTAAATTGGTTGGGCAATTAATTTTCGCGAAACGCCGAGGTAATGAACCTGATCTTAAAATTGTTAACGAAGCTCGCGAAGAACTCGAAAAAGTTTTGGATGTTTATGAAAAATTATTAGAGGGTAAAGATTATTTAACTGGAGAATTTTCTCTAGCCGATCTTCTTCATATTCCTTTAACTAATTATGCTATTAAAGCTGGTGAAAATGATTTATGGAGTAAACGTCCTAATGTTTCTAGATGGTGGAAAAACATTAGCGAACGTGAAAGTTGGAAAAATGTTCTCAATGAATATACATTAGCATAATATATATGTATTTTTTTTACATTGTGATAAATAGTATGCTTTTCATTTATGTATAATATACTACTGTAAACAGCAGTATATGTAGTTTATTTCAAATAAATGTCGATTTTTAACCGATTTTAAATAATTCTATATCGCGAGTTTTATATACTGTTATGTTATTATGTCTATTAACATTTAATATTATAAAAATTAACCACGCTTAAAGTTTAAATAAATTATAATTAATAAATAACTATCTAACCGACGAATAATTATTCTTTTACGGACAGTTGATATGTAATTTTGATCGTAAGACGTAAATATATTATGTACCTGACAATATGATTAATACGTTTTAAATGTTCAATATTTGATGATATTTATAAAAAGTTCTAGATTCATCACATCCGTTATCCGAGTTTAAGATTTTTAGGGTCGTTTATAAAAAGATTTAAATATTCGTAAATTTATTTATAACTTGAATAGATTTACAACTATTTCATAAGCTAAGCTGCGGGACGTTCGAGAGACATTCAGCACATTCGGTAAAACTCGGTAAAGCTCATAATAAGGTCGGACCAATGATTCTGAGTTTCTCTCGACGAGGAGAAAAATGGTGGATGTCCCGTAACTTATAAATTTGCTGTAAACAACTTTCATTCACTTTCAAAAAGTTTTAATCGATCGGCTATTTACTTTCATTCACTTTTTTTTTTTTTTGAATGACTTGCAAGTAATCACCATTCTCAATGGCATTTCCCTCGATTTATGAACTAAAAAATATCGGAAAATTGTTTTGTAATTTCCGTATTAAGCTGAATGTATTGAAACAGAAACCAGTATTAAGTTCGAAGTTGTACAGGACGGTCATGAGAATTGTATAGTCCTTCGTTACACCTCGAGCTAATAAATTGCCCAAATCTAGATAAAATGAAAGGGATACTGCGTAAAATAATTAATATTGTGAATCGTAACAAAAATGATTTCAAATCAAACAAATCAATAATTTTTCTTTAGATATACTAATTAAAAAATCAAATTTCTTTACAAAAATACCTTTTCGAATCTTAATAAAAATATTATTTTTATTTTTTTTTTTTTAAAGCAAAAATAATAATTATAATAAATTTTATTGTATCCTTTTTTTCGTAAAAATGACTATTCAAGTTTTCGGACACACTACATCTACTTTTTGNAAAATATTATTTTTTTTTCTTTTTTAAAACAAAAATAATAATAATAAATTTTACTTTATCCTTTTTTCGTAAAAATGACTATTCAAGTTTTCGGACACACTACATCTACTTTTTGTCTTGTATTATTCCACATTCTTAAAGAACTAGGATTATCTTATGAAGTCGTTCAACTAAATAGTACCGAAGAAATTAAATCTCCAGAATATCTAGCTACCAAGCATCCTTTGTAAGCGAGGAAATTATTTTCTTTCTCTGAAGTTGTGCTCGTCACAAAAACATCACGAGTCAACTAACTAATTTGAACTTTTTTCATCTTTTTTAATAGCGGAAAAATTCTTTCTCTCAATTATGATGAATTTCAAATTTACGAGACTCGTGCAATAGCTCGTTATTTGATAAATAAATATCAAGGAACCAAAACTTTTACCGTTCTTATTCCTTCAGATGTCGCTTTGGTATAACAATTCATTTCTGTAGAAGCCTCTCATTTTACTCAACCTTTAAGTAAATTGATTGTGCAATTAGTATTTAAGAAACGTCATGGTAAAGAACCTGATCTTAAAATTGTTAACGAAACTCGCGAAAAACTTAATAAAACTTTAGATGTTACGACAAATTATTGGTGGGTAAAGATTATTTAACAGGGAATTTTCTCTAGCTGATCTTCTTCATATTCCTTATACTTTTTATGCTATTAATATTGCTGGTGAAAGTGAATTATGGGATAAACGTCCTAATGTTTCTAGATGATGGGAGAACATTAGTGAACGTGAATGTTGGAAAAATATTGCCACTGAATATAAAATAGCGTAATTTATATATTTTTATTTTAAATTGCGATAATAGTTTATCTTCATTTATATACTGTATATTATTATATTTTTAAATTATAAGTAATAGCGCATATTAATATATTTCTTTTACTTCAAATAAATGTAATTTTTAACCGATTGTGAATATGCATGATTAAATGATTCGCCATTAGTACAAGAAGGTGCTATTATAAGCGACTAGATTTATGTCTTTCCATGATTCTTGAAGTCATGAACCTTTTACACCTATGATACGGTCTTATTTAATTATTGAAGGTCGTTGTTGAATTTTTGGCTGTCATTGTCATGACAACAATCATTCAATATTGACCGTAATATAATATCGAAGTGCCTAATAACAGTTATATCGCAAGCAATCTTACAACTGCCTCAATGTTAAACCAAATTTGATTAATGATTTCTATAACTGTTCTATTCACTTTTATTTTCTTTATATTGTTAGTGAATGATGTGGGATACCAAGTATTGTTATTGGCTATATCGAATATCGATGAAAATTTGACACTGGATATCAAAATTTTACCTTAATAGTTAGTAACGATGCATACGAACATTCGTCGGAAGCAAAATTTTTCCGCATGTCTTGTATTATTACGTATTATTAGTTAGTTATTTTATTTAGATCCGAGTTTAGGTCTTTTAGGGCCGTCTAGCTATTAGTAATAAGTTAAAAAATATTTCGTAATTTATATTTCCTAAAGGTATCGTTGATATACCTGGCTCACGAGCTGGCTTCGAGCTATATGAATGATTATCAGATAATTATCATGTAAAAATTATATTATCTTTTGTTAATTAAATTAATTTATATGGCAAGAAAACTTTAAACAATAAACATTTTTTTAAACAAAATAAAATTTTGATTGTTATATATACAACGCTATAAGAAAAAAAAAATCATTTATTTTCTAAATATAATAAGAGAATTTGGTTTTTTTTAAAAAAAAAAAATCTATTTTTTATTTTTTATTTTTTTTTTTGATAAAATTAGATCGCATAACACATGATCTATCGTTTTTTAGCTATTGTATTATGTATAGGATATCGTAACGGTTATCTCCATTTTGGATTACTAATTTTTTTAAAAAAAGAGAATTTAAATCTTTTTTTTTGGTTTATATAGGTTGGAATAATAAAATAATCTTAATTTTTTTTGTTAAGATTGCGTCTCAAAAAAGATCGGTGAAGGCTTCGTGAATCGTGATTATGTCAGTATCTAAGTCCGTATCTGATTGTGGGTTTTTTTATACGAATCGAGGTGTTTAAATATGGTTTGCTTATTAATGGGTTGGTTTGGCAAAAATTATATTATTTACTGCAATTTTTTTAATTGACTAACTCTTTTTATTTTAGGCTATGATTGTACTTCATCATAAATAAATTACGATTTTAGCATTACGCTCGTTATTTTGATATAATTGTATTATTATAGGCGTTGAAATCTGTTGAAATGCTGAATACTAAAATAATTTTAGCGAACAGACTTGTCGGATCCATTTTAAGATTATTTTTTCAGTTTTTTGAACCGAACTATTTTTTTAAGCCATTTATTTATTTATTTTTCGAAAATTTAATAACTTTTTAATTTATTTTTTTTTTAAAAAACCTTTAAAACCGAAAAAAATAAAGTTTTTCTCACTTTTATTCTGGATTCAAGTTCGAAACATCCAAATAGATAACATCGACTGTGGAAAATCGGTAAGTCATTCTATTTTTTTTAGAATAAAAAAAATTTATTACAGTATTATTATATTAAAAATATGAAAAATTATAATTTTATGTACTTTTCTTTATTTTAATATAAATAGGTTAACTAATTAAAATTTTTTTTAAAAAAAAAATGTTCACTAACGTAAGTTCATAACAAAAAAAAAAAAAATTGTTTTCAGATTGACACCTGAACGACTTACTCGTTTGATTCATTTTTGATAAACAACTTGAAAAAAACATTAAGTTCCCAAAAAATTTGAACTTGGAAGATTACAATAATTAATAAATAAACTTTATTTTTATTACATTTAAATTATTTATACTTTTTCTTTTTCTCAATTTTTATATTAATATATAAATATGATTTATTGATGAGATAAAAAAAAATGAATATATAAAAATAATAATATTATAAACCCAAAATTACAAACATTTTGAATTGATATATAGAGGTAAGGTGCAGCCAAAAAAAATTACGCATTTTTTAAGGGCCGGAATTATGATAATGCCAGTCAGGCTCTAAAAAAGGAAATAAATTCCGGCCGGGATATCTATAAAAGGAAAGATCTACATGATTATTTTGGTCAATTCTACGCAAACCCTTACCCTACCTTTTATGTATAGTTCGGGGTCCTATGTATCTACCATATCGATCAAATTTACAGATTTAATAACATGCAAAACGTAAGAGAATTTTTTTTTTTCGGATAATGAAATTATTAAAATAAAAACTTTATAGTTTATACCTTTTTTGTTCTTTTTAACCGAAACAAGGGGATCAACTGAAACAAGGAGTACATTTTTATTCTATTCATTTGGTGGAATGCACCAGGGCGTTCTTTGTACCTGTGTATTTTGAATTAACAAAGTACAAAAAAAAACCAAATCGGGGTAAACATGCATCGAATTTACTGTAGTACTAAGGCGAATTCACCGATAGAAAAAGAAAATTCTATATTCTATTCAGAAGTTCATTATATAAAAATTTGAAAAACTATAAATTTGTTGAATTTTCTATATTGCTTATACTGTAATATTATAAAATGGAACTTGTAAAATTAAATGAAAAAATTCTTTTGATCCAACACCAAGATTAAAATCTAGCCCTGTGCCAATTTTTTTTGTTTCTTTTGATGGAAGAGATAATAATTGTATTCATTGTGGAGAAAAATATACACAAACGAAATATTCGCATCAATATTATTGTGAAAATTGTTTATCATGTTATTTAACTAATATAACCGATAATGACATATACTTGGACGTGTTATTCACAAAGGACTTGGAATGTAATGAACATGAAATAAGTAGAACAAAAATACCACAAAATATTCAAGAATACTGTAGAAATTGTTTGATAATATTATTTTTTAGACAAATAATCAGTTTTAATAAGGATTATACTCTTTGGGGTTTAATTACTATTGAAAACTATTGTAAACTATGTGGAAAATTATTATATCACCGTAGTATGCAATTTAAATGGTGTTCAGATTGTTATCTAATTTCTTCTGGATATATAGAATCAAACTTAACCAAAAAACTTATTTCAATTATTTATTTTCCATGGTGGGAAGATAATTCTAATTGTTATTGCGGTGAACTACTAGTATTTACATCAAACTGTCAAAAGTATTGTGAGAACTGTTTTATATTTTTTATTGGATGTAGATATTGTTTAACAACAAATATTATTTTTGGAATTACAAATCAATCACAATGTAAAAAATGCAAGAGAGTAACAACTATTATACTAGATAGCAAAAAGATTATTAGTATTAACAGTGGGAACAGTGTTTTAGATGATTTTCTTGTTAGTATAAGATCTTATCAATCGGAAATAGCTAAATTTACTAGCGTTATTAAAAATATTGATAAGTGCTTCGCTCCAAGCGAAATAAATAATATTTTTAGAAACCGTCACAAAAGTTCAAGATCATTAATGAAATATATACCATATTCTAAATTTACGAATGTAAAAAAAATAGCAGAAGGAGGATTTAGTATAATATATCAAGCAACTTTGTTAGATGGTATAAAATATGATTTTCGGACTGAAAATATTTTAATTTTAAAAAAATTTAAAAATTCTCAATATGCTGAAGAATATCTTTTGAGAGAGGTAAGTATTTTAAAGATTAAAAGATTGGTATTTATTTTATAAAAATTTTAAATTTTAATCTCAAAATTTATAGTTAATGTCGAATCATTATGGTTATACAGATAACAGAAATTTTTATGTTCATATGGTGGTTAATACTTATGGTTTTACAAAAGACCCTCGAGTAGATAGATTAGATAGTTATATATTAGTTATGGAATATGCTCCAAGTGGAGATTTACATAAGTATCTACAAAAGAACTTTACAGAAATTGATTGGAGAAAAAAAAAATTAGTTATTCTATTTAATATTACAAATGGGTATTTAAATTTTAAACATATTGGTAAATGATTAATTTATAATACAAATTTATTAATTATTATTGTTTTAGACTTCAGAGCATTCATAATATAAATTTCGTACATCGAGATTTACACACTGGAAATACGTTGATACGTGAATCTGATGGGTTTTGCAAATGTAAAATCGGAGATCTAGGATTATCACGACCTGAAAATGATACCTCATTGGATGATGAAATATATGGAGTAATACCTTATATTGCACCAGAAATATTTATGGGGTCTGCATTTTCTAAAAAATCTGATATTTATAGTCTGGGTATGATTATGTGGGAACTTACAACAGGTTGTAAGCCTTTTGCTAATGTTGAACATGATATTGATCTAATTATCAAAATTATTGATGGTTTACGACCTGAAATTACAGAAGATACACCAGAATGTTATGCTAATTTAATGAGAAGTTGTTGGAATCCTGATCCCACAAAGAGACCTTCTATAAGTGTCATTGAGAGCATTTGTCGTGAATGGTATTATCAGTTTAACGATGTTGATCAATTTGATCAAGCTGAATTAAAAAGGAAAAAGTTAATAGATTCAAAGAAGCTTGGTCCTAAGTTTAGTGAAAAGTCTCATCCAAAAGCTATTTATACAAGTAGATTATTAAGTTCTTACATTTCTAAATGTTCATCTATATTTTCCAATTGTTCATCTATCAATTTTTCATCAAACGGTATGTACTATGCTATTTTAATAAAAGTCATCTTCGATAGATAAATTAAAATTTTTTTTTTTTTTCGTAGGTTACATTTCAAACGAATTAGAATTTGACATAGACATTAAAAGGTATTTTAAAATTAAAAATAATTAATAAGTAATTTATAATTTAAGTCCAATAACGAAATCTTCAACAAAATACAATTTTATATTAGTAGCAAACTCGACTCACTTGGAACTAAGCGAAATATTGAAGAATTAAATATTAATTCTTTTGAAAATAATGGTAAATATTTTATTTGATTAAATGTTATCAAGATTTATTTATATCCTTATTATTTTATTTTTTCTAATTTAAAATAGGAAAACGCCTCAAAGAAAAATAATGAAGAAATAAGAAATGGGAAAAATTTTTCGTATAAATATAATAATATATCTTATTTTTAATATTTTATTTATGTATATTCCTTTTTTTTTATTATTATTATGCAATATTATTCAATTAGCTTTGGTGAAATGGTTCATTTTCGCAGAGTCAAAGTAGCTTAAATTTGAATCCATAAGGCGCAGTTAAAATCATAAAAAGATAAAATTCTTAACGGTCAAAAGGACTTAGCGGGATAATTAAATCATAACTTGAACCGATTGACAAACTTTCGAAAGTTGTTTCGTGTATACTAAAATTTAAATTCACTTCAACTTAAATTTATAAAGCGCATAGGATTTTGTAAAGCGTGCTAGATTTATATAATAAACATTCATGGTGTTTTGTTTAAAAATTTCCAATTTATTTAAGATAATTTAATGCCAAAAAAAAAAAATGTTTGCTTTTCTTGTTATATATATGTATATAATATATATATATATAATCACGCCAATATTATATACGTCAATATTATATAAATCTTACCCATATATATATATTACTAAATATATAAAGATATTTTGAAAATATAGATAGAATGGATATCGTTAGAATAAACTTTAATTTAGACTCATCTGCATCACTTTTAATACATCTTAGTTAATTGAAAGCATCAAATAAGTAAGTTTAACAAAAAAATTAAAAAGACGAAATTATCATAACGAATTTTTATTATTAGAAAATACTTTTTAAAATTTTTCAAAAAAAAAAAAAAAAAAAAAAAAAAAAAATCACGACACCGAAAAAACTAATAAATAATGAATCGGATAATCTTTACAGTTAGAATGGTTTAGAGTTTGAGTTCTACTATTAATTTTTTTTCAATACTATATATATCATATTCTTTTCCTTTTCCTCTTATAACGATCATTAGGAGTATATGATCAAAAATCAAGCTAACTTTTTTATAAAATTTCTTAGATCATTAATTCCGAAATTGGATCTGCATAAATAATTTAAATATTGTTAATCCTTACTTAAATTATATAAGAACAAAAAATGTGGTAATACAAAAAATGTCGTACAACCTTGATCTTAACCTTATTTAATGATCTGACGGACTATGATACTATGAACTTCTTTTCCCCCTTCTTTTTAAATAAAAAAAAAAGAAATTTAACGATATTATCAAAAAATGTTAAATAATATTATGAATATTAATATTTCTAAAGATGATGAAAATTTTTTAAAGAATTTTTTAAAAGATTTTCATAAAAAAATTATTGAAACAAATGATTTTAGTAATTATGAATATTATTTAAGTGAATGGGTAAAATTTAATCTTGAAAATAATGATAAAAATCCTGAAAATATTCTTAAAATGATGGAAAATCATGATGAAAATAAATTTTGGTTCACAAGTTTATTAGGATTTTTTTATCAATTTGGTATTGGTTGTTATCTTAATAGAGAAAAAGCGTTAGATTTTTATTATATTCTCACCACCATTGATAATAATAATAAAATTAAGGAAAATGATGATGATGATTTTAATCAATTAAATTTAATTGAAAAAAATGATGATACATTTGATTTATTAAGAAATAATAATATAGTTATTGGAAAATATTTGTTATCATTATTTTATTATAAAGATAATATTTTATTTGATTATACGTATAAACAAAATAAATCAGTACATCTTTTAAAATTATCTGGAAATAATGATTTAGAATTAGAATATAATTCAAGAATTTGTTTTGAAAATGATGATGATTTGAAAACTAATTATCGAAAAATTTTTGAATTACTTTTAAACTTGGCTGATAATGAAAATTTAGATGCACAATATAATTTAGCAATATGTTATATGGATGGTATAGGAACATATAAAGATGAAACGAAAGCATTTGATTTATTTTTAAAATCTGATCAAATTGATGAATGTCTTAATACTCAGAATGAAGTTGAAAAGTATAAATTTGAAAAGAATTTAAAATCTGCAATATTAAATAATTCAATAGCACAAAATGATGTGGGATTTTTTTATCAATTTAGTAAAGGAATAAATAAAAATGAAATAAAAGCATTTGAATGGTATTTAAAATCTGCTATTGCAGGATGTGCTGATGGTCAATGTAATTTGGGATTTTGTTATGGTAATGGTATAGGAATAGATAAGAATGAAATAAAAGCATTTGAATGGTATTTAAAATCTGCTGAAAATCATTATGCAATAGGTCAACTTAATTTGGGAAATTGTTATCAGTATGGTAAAGGAACAAATAAAAATGAAACAAAAGCATTTGAATGGTACAAAAAGTCGGCTATTGCAGGATGTGCTAGTGGTCAATGTAGTTTGGCTTATTGCTATGAACATGGTATAGGAACAATTAAAAATGTAATAAAAGCATTTGAATGGTACAAAAAGTCGGCTATTGCAGGTTGTGCTAGAGGACAATATAGTTTAGGTTATTGTTATAACTATAGTATAGGAACAAATGAAGATGAAACAAAAGCATTTGAATGGTACAAAAAATCTGCCATTGCAGGATGTGCTGATGGACAATATAATTTAGGTTTATGTTATGAGTGTGGTATAGGAACTGAAAGTAATGAAATAAAAGCATTTGAATGGTATACTAAATCGGCTATTGCGGGATGTGCTAGTGGACAATATGGTTTAGGATATTGTTATGATTATGGTATAGGGACAAATGAAGATGAAACAAAAGCATTTGAATGGTACAAGAAAGCAGCCGAAAATGGTGATGCTGTAGCACAAAATACTTTAGGAAGTTGTTACCAATATGGTAAAGGAACAGATAAAAATGATACAAAAGCATATGAATGGTATTTAAAATCAGCTGAAAATGGTGATTTAACGGGTCAAACTAATGTGGGTTATTGTTACCAAAATGGCAAAGGAATAGATAAAAATGAAACAAAAGCATTTGAATGGTTCTTAAAATCAGCTAATGCAGGGTGTGATACTGGTAAATATAATTTAGGATATTGCTATGAACATGGCATAGGAACAGATAAAAATGAATTCAAAGCATTTGAATCGTACTTAAATTCGGCTGAAAGTGGTAATGTAAAAGCACAAAATTGTGTAGGTGAATGTTATCATAATGGTATTGGAGTTGATATAGATGTTTCTGAAGCAATTTATTGGTTTGAAAAAGCTGCAGATAATGGATTCAAAGAAGCAAAAGAAAAGTTAAATAATATTTTATCATATATCTATAAACCTTAGTAAAAATAATAGTAGTAAAAAGTTCTGTTTCTTGTTTTTGGTTATACATCTCTTCCTTATTAAATCTTTACTATAAAACATTACTATAAAATTTAAATATAAAATAAAAAAAATAAAAACATATAATTACTAGCTTATTAAAATGGTATTTATCACTTTTAAATCCACCTATAAAGTTTAACTTTTTCTTGTGACAAAATTCAAGGAAGCATCCATCATTTTGGCTAACATTTATTCTGATCTTTAGGAGATAAAATTTTTTTAGGATGATATTTATCAGCATAGTTGCATTCTCAACTAATTTTATGTACAACTTTTATACCATCTTCAACAAGAACTTCAGTACATTTTCTTTTAAAGCTGAATCCCTTTTGTAATACATATTCATTTAGAAAAGTTTCTGCATCAATCCATGTTTGAAAGAATAACATATTTTCATTTTCAGAGTCATCAGTATCAAAAGTTTTTAATGTAGGTTTATTTTTATTTTCCATTTCATTAATAAAAAGCAAAGTCATTTCTGATATGTTATCATTAAAATTTAAGAGGACAGTTGTTTTTATTTGAAAATGTAATATTATGAGGCAAAAAATTAATTATATTCATTAATAGTATCCATTTTATTTAGACTAGCATTTAAAGATAAATTTTGAATTTTTTTAAGAGAATAATTGTTTGAAATGGTGGAAATAAAAGTAAGTTTACTGATAAAATGGATTTAATCATTTTAATAAAAAAAAAAAAAAAATAGTTGAAACTTTAAAGTAATAGTCAAATAACATGTAGTTATCATTTACATGATGTGAATTTCCCCAGTTATTTTCAAACAAAATATTATTATAAGCTTTGTAATTATAGAAAAATTACTAAGATAAATTACATATTATTTTATTATTAATAAGCTATTTTACATATAATTTGTGAATGCCATGGCCAATTTTTTAATTCCAGTTTTTTTGTAACACACTGTCAAAAAGTAAATTTTATAATAATATTTTTAAGTATTCAGTTGTTATTATTATTTATAAGGAATAATATTATATAATATTATTAAAAATTTGTAAAAGTATATAATGTAAATATTTTCTGCATAATAACTGATAAATAATCCAATGAATAAAGAATAATTAATCTTTAATTATACAATCCAAACCTTCAGACTTTTCTTGAACTGGATCTTCTTGAACTAAAATTTCAGTAAGTTTACGACTTGTATAATATGCTTGTGAATGAGATTGTATAATAGAGGTACTTGCTTGTTCTTGTATTAAAGTTATTAAAGCTTTGTCTGCTTCTACAAATTCCAACATATCACTTTTTAATTGATCATCAATATTAGGTACTTCATAGACATATTCCCCATTCCTGTTTATTTCATAAAATTCATCAATACATCTAATCCATTTAGATATAATATTTTCAAGCATTATTGTGGTTAGTCTATTGGAAGGATTTGAATCCCAACATTTTTCCATTAAATCTACATAACATTTCGGAGTATTTTTTTTAATTTCAGGGCGTTTTCCTTTACAAATATTCAGGATAAAGTGAAGATCATGTGCTTCATAATTAAATGGAGGAATGCCTGATGTAAATTCCCACATTATCATTGAAAAACTATAGATATCACTTGCTGGAGTATAGGGGTTATTTCTTAATATTTCAGGCGCCATATAAGGTAAAACTCCATAAATTTTATTATCAGAATCCTGTAAATCACTTATAGGTTTACATAATCCTAAATCAATAATAAATAACTCATTGTAATTATCTGACATTAAAATATTACCATCATGAAAGTCACCATGAGTTAAATTTGATTCATGAATTACTTTAAGTCCTAATACAATTTTTTTCAATAATTGTAACTTGTCTTGCCACTTAAATTTAATTATATTAGTTAAACATTTTCTCAAACTTCCTTTTTTTGCATAACTCATTATAATTATATAATTTAAATTATTTGGATCTTGGGTAATTCCAAAAAATTGAATGAATTTTGAAAACGATTTTTTTTGACAATTATAATGATATTTCCACTACAAAATGATAAAAACCATTAAATTTTTGCAAATGAAAATAAAATTCACCATTAAATATAAATACCTCATCTAGAAATTTATCATCTAAACTTGATGAATTATTAAGTGTTTTAAGAATGACTTCATAGCCTGTTTGAAAATTACATCTGTTCCATTGTTGCTTGTCAAAATTCCAACTAAAAATAGGTCCATCTGACCATATAGCTTTATGAATTTCACTAAATCCTCCTTTATCATAATAACTAATATTTGATAATTTATTATAAGGTATCCACTCTAAAATTTCATAACTATTTTTAGCATTAAGTTGTGCCTCTTGAATGAATTTATCAATAAATTCATTTTTACTAGTCCACTTTGAAAAATCTTGTTGAAATCGTTTAGCATTACATTGTTGGCACCATTGATAATCAGTATATTGTTGTTTGCATTCATTACATAATTCATCATTATTTTTCGAACTCACTTTGTTATTTTCTACCACTTTTTTATGCCAATAAAAAGCTTTTTCTAAATTCTTTTCTGTTCCTTTTCCATTTATATAACATTTGGTTAAAACATTCATTGCTTTTATATGGTTTTTTTCTGCTGCTTTTTGATACCAATAAAAGGCTTTTTCTAAGTTCATTTCTGTTCCATTTCCATTCTCATNGCTAAATTATACATTGCATCTTGATTACCATTTTTTGCTGCTTTTTGATACCAATAAAAGGATTTTTCTAAGTTCCTTTCTGTACCCTCTCCATTTTCATAATATATAGCTAAATTATTCATTGCATTTTGATTACCATTTTTTGCTGCTTTTTGGTACCAATAAAAGGCTTTTTCTAAGTTCCTTTCTGTACCCTCTCCATTTTCATAATATATAGCTAAATTATTCATTGCATTTTGATTACCATTTTTTCCTGCTTTTTGGTACCAATAAAAGGATTTTTCTAAGTTCCTTTCTGTTCCTATTTCATTTTCATAACATATGGCCAAATTAGTCATAGCACCAATATGGTCTTTTTTTGCTGCTTTTTCATGCCAATAAAAGGATTTTTCTAAGTTCTTTTCTGTTCCTTCTCCATTATAATACATATTGGCTAAATTAAACATTGCTTCTTTATCATCATTCTTTGCTGCTTTATGATACCAATAAAAAGATTGTTTAAAATTCTTTTCTGTACCTTCTCCATATTCATAAAATTTGGCTAAATTAATCATTGCATCTTTAACACCATTTTCTGCTGTTTTTTTATACCAATGAAAGGATTTTTCTAAATTCTCTTCTGTTTCTATTCCATTATAATACTTCTGTCTCTTATACACATCTAGATGTGTATAAGAGACAGAAATTATACATTGCAACTTGATTACCATTTTTTGCTGCTTTTTTATACCAATAAAAGGCTTTTTCTAGGTTCCTTTCTATAACTTCTCCATTTTTATAACATATGGCTAAATTAAACATTGCTTTTTCATTACTATTTTCTGCTGCTTTTTGGTACCAATAAAAGGCTTTTTCTAAGTTTCTTTCTGTTCCTTCTCCATTTTCATAAAAAATAGCTAAATTAAACATTATTTCTTTAACACCATTTTCTGCCACTTTTTGATACCAATAAAAAGATTTTTCTAAATTCTTTTCTGTTCCTTCTCCATTTTCATAACATATGGCTAAATTAAACATTGCTTCAATATGATCTTTTTCTGCTGCTTTTTGATGCCAATAAAAAGCTTTTTCTAAGTTTTTTTCTGTTCCTTCCCCATTATAATAACTCTTGGCTAAATTATACATTGCTTTAATATGGTCTTTTTCTGCTGCTTTTTGATACCAATAAAAGGCTTTTTCTAAATTCTTTTCTATTCCTTCTCCATAGTAATAACATATGGCTAAATTAAACATTGCTTTAATATGGTCTTTTTCTGCTGCTTTTTGATGCCAATAAAAGGCTTTTTCCAGGTTACTATCTGTTCCTTCTCCATAGTAATATCTATTGGCTAAATTAAACATTGCTTCTTCATCACCATTTTCTGCTGCTTTTTGATACCAATAAAAAGCTTTTTCTAAATTCTTTTCTGTTCCTTCTCCATTTTCATAACATATGGCTAAGTTAAACATTGCATCTTGATTACCATTTTTTGCTGCTTTTTTATACCAATAAAAGGCTTTTTCTAAGTCTCTCTCTATTTCTTCTCCATTTTCATAGCATATTGCTAAATTATTCATTGCTTTAATATGGTCTTTTACTGCTGCCTTTTGATACCAATACAAAACTTTTTCTAAATTCTTTTTTGTTCTTTCTCCATCTTCATAACATATGGCTAAATTAAACATTGCTTCAATATGATCTTTTTCTGCTGCCTTTTGTTTCCAATAAAAAGCTTTTTCTAAGTCACTATCTGTTCCTTCTCCATAGTAATATCTATTCGCTAAATTATTCATTGCACCAATATGGTCTTTTTCTGCTGCTTTTTTATGCAAATAAAAGGACTTTTCTAAGTTCTATTCTGTTCCTTCTCCATTATAATACATATTGGCTAAATTAAATATTGCTTCTTCATTATTCTTTGCTGCTTTATGATACCAATAAAAAGCTTGTTTAAAATTCTTTTCTATTCCTTCTCCATTTCTATATTTATTAGCTAAATTATACATTGCATCTTGATTACCATTTTTTGCTGCTTTTTGGTACCAATAAAAGGCTTTTTCTAAGTTCCTTTCTGTACCCTCTCCATTTTCATAATATATAGCTAAATTATTCATTGCATTTTGATTACCATTTTTTCCTGCTTTTTGGTACCAATAAAAGGATTTTTCTAAGTTCCTTTCTGTTCCTATTTCATTTTCATAACATATGGCCAAATTAGTCATAGCACCAATATGGTCTTTTTTTGCTGCTTTTTCATGCCAATAAAAGGATTTTTCTAAGTTCTTTTCTGTTCCTTCTCCATTATAATACATATTGGCTAAATTAAACATTGCTTCTTTATCATCATTCTTTGCTGCTTTATGATACCAATAAAAAGATTGTTTAAAATTCTTTTCTGTACCTTCTCCATATTCATAAAATTTGGCTAAATTAATCATTGCATCTTTAACACCATTTTCTGCTGTTTTTTTATACCAATGAAAGGATTTTTCTAAATTCTCTTCTGTTTCTATTCCATTATAATACTTATTGGCTAAATTAAAAATTGCTTTTTCATTACTATTTTCTGCTGCTTTTTGATACCAATAAAAAGCTTTTTCTAAATTCTCTTCTATTCCTTTTCCATTTTCATAACATATGGCTAAATTAAACATTGCTTCTTTAATACCATTTTCTGCCGCTTTTTGATACCAATAAAAGGCTTTTTCTAAATTCTTTTCTGTTCTTTCTCTATTATAATAACAATTGGCTAAGCTATTCATTTCTTTTTCATAACCATTTTCTGCTGCTTTTTGATACAAGTGAAAGGCTTTTTCTAAATTCTTATCTGTTTTCTCTCCATTTCTATATCTATTGGCTAAATTAAACATTGCCATTTTATTACCACTTTCTGCTAAATTTTTTAAAGAATTAATACATTCTTTACACCATAATTCTACAGTAAAAGGTTTATTGCAATATGAACAATTTTCGGTGTTTATTATATCAGTTTCCATTTGGGTTTACTTTATAAATCTAGTTTTTTTTAGAAAATGTATTTATTTATTATGTCACACACAAATTTGAAAAAGGAAATTATAACAATGCATCTGATTAATAATTATTGTTATAATTTCCTTTTTTGAATTTGAGCGACAAAAAGAATATCTTAATCAATCGGACCGATTACTAAGATCTGCGTTAAAAAATTCCTTTAAAATACTGTGTAACAAAAAAAATAAGATAAAAATGCATTTTCTCTCAAAAAAAAAAGAATTATAAATTAATTCGTGATCCGTTTATGAACCAGTGAAAACTACTAATAGATTTCGGAGAACCATTTATGCAAAATAATTATCCCTTAAATGGCTTTTGAGCTAATTTGCCCAGAATTTTTTTTTTAAATGTTATAGAATAATGTTCCGAAGCATATTGGATGATAAAATTTGCGTCATCATATATTAATTTCACAGGTTTGATCAAAATATACTTGTCATTTAAGATTACGATGTTATACAAAATTGGTGACCTCGGCTGAAAAATAGTGTAACCAAACTAACCAATTGCTTAAACAAGGATCGTCAAAATTTTTTATATTGTCAAAAATTTTTTCTTTAGCGACGCTGGATTCCAGCCTTTAAAAACGCTATATTATTCAACTACAAGAAGTGTACCGATCATAAAGTTAATATTTTTTATTAAAATATTATTATTTGCTGGTAAATAAATTTGTCTTAAAAAATATATAAAACAAAAAAAAAATAAAAAAAAAAATAAAAATTATTCATTCCTATCAATCACAAACTGTTTAACTTATTTTACCATATTTTGCTTATATTGAGCGTTATATCTAATTTTGAATGGTGAATGCTTTTGGAATGTCAACTCCTTTTAAACTACCTTTCTTTAACTAATTTCGTAAGCTCTTATCTAAATTTCTTGCTAACTTATAATTTGCAAAAATAATTCCCCGAAATACATTAGTAGAATTCAAGACGGATCACGAATTAACAATAATTTTTTTTGTTATTAGTGTATTTGATTTATAGTTTAAAAATACCGTTGATATCATATAAATTCTAATTTTGCTTTTGCGTTAATTTTCTCAACAACTAGTGATTGAATTAAATGAATATCTATTTTATAACGTTATAAAAAAGAAATTTGATATTATTGGATATTTGGATTATAAATTAGTAATTTATATATTTATAATATTTTAGATATTTTTAATTAAAATTTTAGTATCAAAAATAATTTTAGCCGTTTATTATTTATAGATATACGACATCTTATTATAGCAATTCGTTCAGTATGATCGACACCTAATTTTGGAACACCAATAATATAATTTGTTCGGGTATTGTGTCCGTAATTATTAAATAGTGATCTTCAAAAAAAATACTTTTTTCCTCAACTTTATCCCGTTTTCCGTTTTTTTTACGCAAAAAAATTCATATTGAGAAATTTCAATTAAAAATGGCTTATAATTATGAATCTGAATTATCAGAAGCATTTGGGCAATTGCTCAAAATAGAAACGGATTATAATGTTATCATATACATTGGAAAAGAGCCTAATTTTAAGGAATTTCATGCGCATTCTAATGTTTTACGTTGTAGATCTGAATATTTTGATAAAATATTATCTGATGATAGTATCGAAAAAAAAGATGGGAAATATATAATTAAAAAGCAAAATATTTCACCTCAAGCATTTAATGTTGTTCTTAAGTGAGTGACTATTAATTAATAAATTTTTAAAATTTTATTATTTTCTATAATTGACTTATTTTTTTTACCTTTTCGTATTTTTTAGGTACCTTTATACTGGTAAAATTGATATTGCTAATAAAACTAAAACTGAGATTTCGAATATTATGACTGTTTCTGATGAATTATTGTTGAAAAAATTAACTAAACTTATCGAAGACTATCCTATTATTGAAAAAAAAGATTCGGCTGGCAATAATATTGACTCTATTATTATTAATCGCGAACACCTTACACTTTTTGCAAATTGGATTGATAGAAAGGAAGGAAATATTAATGATATCCCTTATAAATTTAATCTTTTATATAGAGCTAACAGAGATGGAAATACAGCTGAAATGTTTCATGCTAAATGTGATAACAAAGGAGCTACTTTAGTCGTAGTAAAAGTTAAAAATTCAGAACAAATTGTTGGAGGATATACCCCACTCTCTTGGGTTTCAGGTATGATTGACAAGTCTACAAAAGATAGCTTTATATTCTCGTTAAATAGTACTAACTTTCAGAATGCGAGAGTAGCTTACAGTAATGATAATGGATATTCTATATCATGTATATCAGAATGTGGTCCATTTTTTGGTGGTAGTGATTTATACTTGAATCATTGTAATGGTCCTGATTTTTGGTGTGCTATGAAACCTTTTTCTTATCCATCTCTGGGTTTGCCATGGAAGATAATAGCGGATGATTATGAAGTATTTCAAGTTATTAAAAAATAGTCAGTTTGATTGTACTGCATTTGTTATTATTGTATGCATCAAATATATTCATTATACAGTACGCTAACATGACAAATAATAAAGTATTATTATTAAGTGATCAAAATTTAATGAAATTGTCTATAGAATACCTTTGTATTATAAATAAAAACATTAAATCTTGAATGTTAAGAATTAAAGTTTCTTAGTACTTTAAAAAATTAAAAATTAATAAATTAGTAATTTAATACAAATAGACTCGTTAGTTTAAGTTACGCCTACGAATTGGATTTAGCCAGTTTCACTAAATATACCGCTTATTTCTCGATGATATAAAATGCGTATTAGAAAACTAAAAAATATGGAACATTCGGGAAAAATGACCACGTGATCTTTGGCGAACATGTTCGCTGAAATGTTTTATTAATACAGATACAAAATAAATACAAATTTTGTGACGCATCCTATTATACAGGTGAGGTAAGATAAATACAAATATTCAGGTATTGGCCATGACACTTATATCCTAATACCTATTTACTGTATCTTATTTTTCCGTAAGATTGCTCGATGACCTATGCCTTTATTACCCTCTCTTCACTTCGAGAATCTGAATCCGGCTTCTGTGCCTCCTCAAACAACCATACAATATGTCCGAGGACTTTTTCCACTTTAGTTTGCAAATTCTCATCGTTATATACAGCAACCACCGGTTCCGATAGTTGAAGCTTGGTCTATCTTGAATAGAGGAGCTTTCAAATGTCGTTCCATGAAATAGAATTTCTAGGCATCAGTAGCTATCCCAAAAACTCTTCCGAACGTCTGTACTCCTCCATTTCTTTGGCCTTGCGCTGCGCTTACGATTAGACAAAGATGACTCGAGTTGGACCGCGCATTGAGCAACGGCTTTCGCAAAATCATCTTTTTTTACCTTCGTGACCCCAACCGTTTTTGCTGTTTGGCGCAAGTCAATCGCGAAATCGAGAGGTCAATGCCCATTCGGTCCAGAAATAACTTTTTGAGGTCGGATCTCAAACTTCCCCCTTGAAATTATTCGCTCCAGCAAGCAGGTAAGAATAGACGCATAATAATTGGTCGCCTCGATTGAAAGTAAATTGATGGGTATTGTCGAGACGGGATTTAATTCTGCCATGAGTCCTTCCAACGATTCCTGGGTCGTTACCGCACGAAAAAACCGGGAGGATTCTCCATCAAGACCGTAAAGCTGACATTTTTTGGGAACGTCCAATCCGAAAAAGCTTTTGAGGGGGTCTCTATGATTACAGTAAACTTGGAGATGTCTTTGATACGAATATGTGGAGGAATTCACAGAGGTCTTGATCATTCCGAGGAGAATATCTTTCTTTATCTTCACTTATAAATTTTAATACCGCTCCATCTTTTCAAGAGACAGTGGTTCATATTCTTTGCGTATATATTCCTTGAGACCTTCGAGGGTTGCATGTTCAATATTTACAGTCCATTTGAAACCCTTTGTCCGTTTCGGACTAACGACGACATCAAACTCTATAATTTAACAACCAAGCTAAGACAGTAAGTAATTTGACGTGAAACATTGTTTCCCGAGTAAACAGTTCCATAATCTGAAGATTTCACCGACGGCTCGTCGGCCAAATTTCTTGGCAAAACTTTATACGTACCATGGACAGACTTGTTGAGTAATGCCTGCAATGAGGCGACTTGGCCAAGTAATTCCTGCTCATGACTCGAAGCGGCGCAGGTGGTTCGACTATGACATGAACACTCTTAGGTGGTTTTTCAGATCGGTAGTCCTCTATTTCCCTTGTCACAAGAAGTTCGTCCCGTCATTGAGTGTGAGATTGCTCATCGCGATCGTCATTAATTTCTACTTTCCATAACTTTAGCTCCACACCAGCAAAGTTATTTTATTTTTCCGTCTTAATAACCTTCTTGAGGTGGCTGACCAACTTGTCACTGTGAAAGCATTCCTTTGACTAGGCAGAGTAACGTGATAGACATTTTCGACTTATATACGAATTTTTGCGAAATTTTATTGGCTAAACAGCTGTATACGAGGGCAAGTGAGAATGTGAAAAAAAAGTGGGCGATTGGGAGTATATGTGAAAAAGTATACTGTCGCACAGACCCTGCCATGTGATCATTTGTTTCGGAACACAAGAACTGTATGTAGCTCAGCAGAAAAAATAATCCGAGCTGTTGATCGTTGCTCCGGAATACATTGAATCGGAGCAATGATCGATATTTAAAAGAAAATCAAGAATTATGAAAAAAAGTGAATACCATTGCTTATACCTAATGAATAAAAAATATTTATTGAAATTTCTATAGAGAAATGTTGGTAATCTCATCCTCTATTGCCTTACAGCGATTTTACATATTTACATATTCAGTTGTCACTTCCGGTAGTATCATTTACCATTTAACATTCTCAATTTATTCTCATTATTCTCATGTATTTTCCTAATTTAGCAATATCAGAAATACGGGCAGATTCTGTATAACTAAATTTTCTGTCTTTATCAAATTTCCATTTGATTTTTCGCCTCCCAGCTATTCTTAAATGATTTCGACCACAAGAGCATTCCTTACGTTGAACCTTGTTTTTGTGTCTAGTTGCTGGAGTATTCGTAATGGCCGTCCAGATATAATGTATTTACTGAATGACATTATATATATTGTTTATCTATTGAATAATATTTTTACATAAAATATACGTTATTTTATTTGCAAAAAACTTGATGTGTTGGAATATCGAGATCTGCTTACGAAGTCCACCCTCATGATATGAAGTTTTGTTATATCAGTCATCATCGTTTCTAAGAAGATCCTCTCTAGTATTTCTAATTTCTTCTTCAGTAATAATTTGCTCTTTTTTAGACAATTCATAATAGAGTTTGTATAAGTTCTCAATACAATTTATCAAAATTTGGTTAATCAATTTTACTAATGTCAAAACTTACACAAGCTTACATAATCAGGAAAAAAAAACTTAAAAATTCGAAAAAAAGATTATGCTTCGGTATACCGTAAAAATAAAAATGCAATCAAAAAGTGAAGGTGATAAGTAAGTATTATTTATAATATTAACAAGATGGCCAAGTTGATGGCGCGGTAAATTCCAAATAAAGCAAATAAACGTAGCGATTTAAACCCAAATGAAGCAAATAATCGTAGCATTTTGAACGATTAAATTCCTAATAAAGCAAATAATAGTAGCAGTTTGAACGATCCAAATAAAGCTAATGATTATGTAACAAGTTCGAACGATCAAATCAAAATTTACGGAGTAGCGATAAAGTCATTATACCGCAAACGATTTGACTTAGGATTGTTTTAGTGGACGATATCATAATCGTTATGCCTTACATTCATTAATTTATCGTTAAATGATTGCATTAAAATTTCGATATACTCAATTAAGTATATATTTGATTTTTCGAAGTGAAATACATCATTTTTTTTTATATAACTTATAACTTCGTAATTGCTAAAATTTATTATTCTATTTTATTTATTTTATTCTATGTTATTTATTTTATTATGTAATTTTTTTTTTACACGTATTACATGTAATAATTAATAAATTACACTACCTTATTTTTTAATAATAAATTGTATAAAAAATTTCTGAAGTATGTTTGCTATACCACAGCTTTGAATAATCAAAATTATTTTCGTAGGTTGACAAAAGCCTAAATAAAAAAAAAAGTCTTAAGACCGTTAGTTTTATTAATTTACTAATTTATCAAGATTTAAATGAGTAAATACAAAAATTTCTCAAAATTGTTTCAAAAATGACGTGCAATATTTGCTTGCTTCCAATAGTTTTTACGATCGTTTAAGCTGACATAAATCTTGTAGAAAAGGAATACAATATAATGAAAGATTTAATTGATGGATTCCCTAATTACGCATTAACAAAAAAATATGTTACTGGTATATATAATTTTTGTATAAAAAAAAGATTACCGGGACAGAATTCTGAAACATTATCTATTATTGTCGTTGATACTTAAGTATCATACTATGAATAGAATTATTAAAAGACTATCATGAAGTCTAATGATATGAATTTGGGAAAATAAATTTTAGAATTAAAGTAAAGGAAAATTCATATTTATACATTTTTTTTATTTGTTTTTCATATTACTGTATTATTGTCTCATTGTTTTGAAATTTGTAATTATTATATTAACCGGGTTTACAATTGAGTGAGCTTTATTTTAGTAAGAAATTCATCATTACAATATTTTTCTTTAGTGCTTTGTTATTATATTACTTTATAAATGTGAGTATTGCGTAACTGATAAGCAACTTTAGTAACTATGCTGTAAAATTTTACGTATATAAGCTAAAAAGAAAGCAAATTTACGGTACAATTAATTATTAATCAAGGCATAAGAGAGTGAACTGGATTAATACCTTATTCAATATTCATCGCTATCTTCATCTGTACTTGAAGGTACTTCATCTCCACTTTCTTTGTCTTCCAATTTTGCAGATTTAATTTCACAATAACCAAACTTTCTACGATAATCAGGTCCATTTTCGCTTTCGCTAAAGTGTATTTCCGTTTCGTGCTCCCTATAGTATTTGTTTCTAGCTCCTTGAATACAACCTGAATTTCTGTATAGACGTCGTGCTTCTCTTCTCATTGCTTCTTGAGCTAGTTTCTTGGAGACAAAGCAGCGACATTCAATTGAATATTCAACAGCTTTATATGGAGAAAAAAACATCGATAAGACCCAGACTTCAGCTGGAGTTTTGGCTGGAATTTTTGCTGGAGTTTTAGCTGAAGTCTTAGCTGGAGTCTTAGCTGGAAGTAGTTAAGAAATGATAAGATAAATTATCAAATAAAATATAAAATACAAAAAACACTTCTAATACCTTTAACTTGCGAGTTCCCTGTTGACATTTTCTTTCTTTCTTTTTTTTTTTTTTTTTTTTTTTTTTTT